TCATTTCCTCTATGTGAAAATGAGCTGGCCATGTGAAGAATGGAGGCTGCTAACCGACAAGCCAGCCACCGAAAATGAAAGAACAACTGGCCATGTGCAAGGCCAGCCAAGCTCACCACCATTCTCTTCAGTGTATAAATGGAAAGGCTAAAGAGAGAGTTTAGTGAGTAGAGAGCAATACAAGAAAAGAAGAATAAGTGATATACAAGAGACTGTATATCAGAGTGTATATCTATGTGAGAGTGAGAGGAAAAAACCAGAGAGTGTAAGGTAGTAGAGAGTGTGTGAGTTGAGTAAGAAAGTCTCCTCCTCCGTGTAATCTCTATTTGTTTTAGTGGAAAAAAGTTTTCTGGTTCTCTCCGTGGACATAGGCATTGATGCTGAACCACGTAAATTTTGTGTTCATTATTGTGTGTTTGATTTCTGATAGTTCAGGTGGGTTGCCTTAAATCTCTAACAATTGGTATCAGAACCTCGTCGGTCGTTTTTCAGAAAAACAGGGTGTGTTTTTTAGAATTGCCTAGAAATCAAGCTGCTTGAAATCAGATTTTGAGCATACCAAGAGCAAGGTCATGCTGAGAGGAGTCTAGAACCCCAAAAAACAAAGGCCCAGAAGAGGTCTCACGCGCCCTCACACGCCTCTTGAAGATAGCACGTGAGGCCACTCTCTGCCACGCACCTCACGCACCGTTATTCATGCCGACGCGAGAGCTCAGTCACCGACACGCACCTCACGTGCGGCAGAAAGAAGAAGGCGAGTGACTGTGGCCACATCAGCACCACATATCAACCAGTCAGCGCTACGTCAACTACCACGTCAACACACAGGAGTTATCTAGTGCTACGCGGCGAAGGTACAGCCGCAGATCTGAGGTGTCCAAATTATTTTGGCTTGATCTGAGCCAATCTGAGTTCGTTTCTGACGATCCAATAGTGCTTTCCAACTATTTGGAGTATTTTGGACACATCCGTACAGTCAGATTTTTTGAATCAGAGTTTATGTAAAAAGAAAGAAGATCAAAATGGCAAGAAAAGGTGCAAGTTTCATGATAGAGCCTTTTAATGGTAATAATGAATTTACTCTGTAGCGACAAAGAGTAAAAAATATTTTAACGCAGGAGGGCTTAGTGGAAGCTCTCAACAAAAAGTCCAACAAACCGGAAGACATGGGAGATGACAAGTGTGAGGAGTTGAGAGAATTGGCAAACAGCACAATCCAGTTATATCTCGGGAACAACACACTTCGAGAAATCATCAATGAAGAAGATCTGGCAGAGCTATGGTCAAAGTTAGAAATGAGGTACAAGTCAAAGTCTTTGACAAATCGGTTATCTTTGAAGAAGCAGCTGCACACACTTCAAATACCAAAAGCAGCGAACCTTACAGAACATTTGAACGAGCTCAACAGGCTCACAATGGAGTTGGATACTATTGGAGTGAAGACCGAGGAGGAAGATAAGGCTATTATCTTGCTGGTTTCCTTACCTTCGTCATATGAGCATCTCAGGACTACTTTATTATACGGGAAGGATACTCTTGGACTGGATAAGGTGGTTGCGTGAGTAAGATTGTTGGCATGGGAACAATACGACTTCGAATAGAAGATGGAAAAATTTTCACGTTGGCTAGAGTCTGACACGTGCCGAGATTGAAGAAGAATCTAATTTCCTTACGTATGCTAGACTTGAAGGGTTACAACTTCTCATCTAGTAAAGGAAATCTCAAAGTTGTCCATGGAGATACGGTGATGTTGCATGGACAACTAGAAGGGAATCTATACAGACTTGTTGAAGAGGTTGTGATAGAAGGAGCTACTATCACTTACCGAGAAAGAAGTACAAGACACGCATCGAAAAGACATAGGGCTCAGCAGACATGGCATCCAAAGTGTACAAGAACGCATGGAGGTAGTTCAAAGGTGCACAAAACGGAGCCATTACAGCCAATTTTGAAGAAAGCTCGTAGCAAAAAGACCAAGACAGCAAAGCATGTCCCATGGAGGAAAAGAGTTTCTTTTGCTCCTCAATTAGAGACATATTGCGATCTCTCCAAGATTGCATGGAAGAGAGAGATGCAATCACAAAGAGTTGCAAAGTAAGCCTTGCATGGCACCCCAGTGAGGGGGTGCAGGGCACTCCAGGCAGGGGGTGCTATTGTGAATCACCTCACATGGGTTGATCTGTTGGATATCACCCCATGTGAGGGGTGATCATTTCCTCTATGTGAAAATGAGCTGGCCATGTGAAGAATGAAGGCTGCTAACCGACAAGCCAGCCACCGAAAGTGAAGGAACAACTGGCCATGTGCAAGGCCAGCCAAGCTCACCACCATTCTCTTCAGTGTATAAATGGAGAGGCTAAGGAGAGAGTTTAGTGAGTAGAGAGCAATACAAGAAAAGAAGAATAAGTGATATACAAGAGACTGTATATCAGAGTGTATATCTATGTAAGAGTGAGAGGAAAAAACCAGAGAGTGTAAGGTAGTAGAGAGTGTGTGAGTTGAGTAAGAGAGTCTCCTCCTCCGTGTAATCTCTATTTGTTTTAGTGGAAAAAAGTTTTCTGGTTCTCTCCGTGGACATAGGCATTGATGCTGAACCACGTAAATTTTGTGTTCATTATTGTGTGTTTGATTTCTGATAGTTCAGGTGGGTTGCCTTAAATCTCTAACTATTGGTCCCTAGAAATTTCTAATAAAAGATTCAATCATTAGTAAAATCGAATGGCTCAACCAAAAAAAATAAACAAATGAAGAAAAAGAAAAAGAATGGCCTCAAGTTTACGAGAGTGCTTATGGATTTCTTGTTTTTCTTTAATTTTTTTTTTTTTTTAAGTTTTAAGTACACGCTAGAGTGTTTGATGTGATGTATATTATTTATTGACATAATAATAATAATAATAATAAAAATAAAAATAATAATAATAATAAAACTAAAGAAACTAATTAATTATTGGAAAGTTGAGGAAAATTTTTAGATTTTGATTTAGATTATTTACACTTTACCTTGCCTAGAGTTGCAACAAACAACCAATATGTAATGTATAGCCTAGCAAAATAAAAATAAAAAGTAAAATAAAGGATAAAATAGTACAATACTTCAATTGTGAAAAGAAAAAGAAAAAAGAAGTTCAATAAAGACCTTACATGAGTAAAAAAAATAAAATATGTTTTTCTAGAACTCCTTCATTGTGTCTGTATAGACGTACTTGTTCTCGCAATTACTATTTTGTATTAATTTAGTTCAATTGTATTAATCTGTCACACTAAGGCCAAGTTTGGCCACCCTTAGGCCAAGTTTGGCCACCCTTGAAAAGTTCAAAAAGACAAAAAATTACTTAAAAAGTTAATACTATTCACCAAAAAAAAATATTAAAAAAATAATATATACATATTAATACAAATCAAAAAATAAACTTATGGACGAGATGGTGAAGTCAGTGACCGGGGGGGAATTATAGTAAAATATTCATTAAATTGGATGGTAGAGTTGGGCCTGTGGGGGCCCACCATAGGTCTCATTTTGATAATCTAAACCGTTAAATAAGTAGAACTCGTCTAGTACTATATTCCTATAAAAAATCACGTCTATCGGATATCGTTAAATACATGATCAAATCAATTTTGTATAAAAATGGATGGTGTTATAGTTAACAGTTAACAAAAAAAACTAACACAATTAGATAGCTATCAATATCCAATCAACGTGATTTTTTACAAACATATAGTACTCGACGAGTTCTACACATTGAACGGTTCCGATTAGTAAAACGGGACTCGTGGTGGGCCCCTATGGGCCGAATAGAACCGACCAATTTATGCCCGAAAAGTAGAGAATCAATCTCCTACACTGCCCTCCATCGCACTGCCGTTTAGGCTTCCAACTGTACGGCCTATTCCATCACTTTATTCTCCTATACACTTATTTATATAATTTTTTAATACACATTTTTTCATAAAAAGTTAAAAAATTAACCCAAATATCCATATTTTTTTCCTCAACTTTTTAGTCCAAAAAGATAAAAAGTGCACTTATTTTGGACACCCCAAACAACTCCTAAATTCATAGATTTGTGGGGGTGGGGGGAAATTGGGTGAGTTATTCGATGAACGTGTTGAAAATTGATCACACTTAGGGCCCGTTTGTTTTGGGTTAAGTAGATGGAAGGGGATTAGGATGGTGGAGGTGTTATTTAATGTTGTGTTTGTTTGTAGAGTTGGGAAGGGAATTAGGATGGTGGAGGTGATATAGATGGAGGTTGGGGAGGGTATTGAGATGGAGGTTGGGGAGATGGTATTAGAAAAATAGTGAGGGGATTAGAAATTTTTTTATTTTTTTTATTTGTTATATATTGGAAATTTTTTTATAAATATTAATGTTTAATTTTTTATATTTTTTTTATTTGTTTTATTATTTTATATAAAAATAATTTCACAATTCCTACACTAACAACTATCATCAAAACAAACACAATTTTACTTAATCCCCTCACTAACAATCTCCTCACTATTAATCCTCTCACTATGAATCCCCTCCATTCTACCTCTGAAAACAAACGGGACCTTAGTTCATAGATTTGTGAATGTGTTGAAAATTGATCTAATTTTATTCTACTTGTTATTTCAATGGTTTGAAAGTTAATTTTTCACCCATTTTGTATAATTAAAATTTTTAAAACAACTAGTTGAACAACCCATTAAATAAAATTTAATAAGACCTAATTGATTGGCCCTATGAGGATAAAATTCTGACTCAACCAGTGGCACCCCTTTCAAATGGGCATATGTGCAAATGAGAGCTATAAGTCATAATAACTACCTAAGTTTGCTTGCGTGTTAGTTATGTTTTTGGGTTACTTGGCAATTGCATTTGTTGTAGGTGAACAAACTGGTGTTTCACAACACTTGGGCCAACCACATCTCATCAAACTCACATTGTGCTTTCCAAACATGTTTGACTGATCTTCTATAAATACCCACTAATTCATGTTGTTCTGTTCAATCCAAAAAAGCACTACTTTAAGCACAATATCACTCATATTCAAAGAACCCAACCCATAAACCTTCCAAACCTGAAAAACAATGGCTTCTTATCATTGTAGTATTGTTCTATCTCTGGCTGTGATGCTGTCAATATCAAGCATCCACATATGCCTAGCAGCTCGCAACCTACTGCAAATAGTGCCCACAATTCCATCTATGCCCAAGGCCACACTCCCTCCACTGCCTGCAATGCCGACCATGCCCCAAGCCACATTGCCACCATTGCCAAGTACACCTTTGCCCACAATGCCAACAATCCCAAGATTTCCAATGCCCACATTGCCACCGCTTCCAACCACCCAAATTCCATCCACTTTGCCCAATCCAACACTGCCAACCATGCCCACTGTTCCTAAGTTGACTCTGCCACCACTGCCAGCTACTTCACTGCCCACCATTCCCACGACGATTCCTTCAATCCCAACCATCCCAACAACAATGCCTAGAATTCCATTCTTCTCACCTCCTCCATCAAACTAAGACCCCATGCCACCAAGTGATAGCATTCCATTCATCTTTCTCTTATATTTATTTCGTGTGTAATAAAGTTCCTCATACATGTGTGGTTTTGAGGAGTCAGATTTTTTATTTTTTATTTTTTTTTCTCTTTTTGAGAGTGATTGTATTATTAATTTGTTGTACACCTTAGAATGTATTTTCTATTGTCATTTTAAACAACATTACATTTCTTGTTTTCACCCTGTCTCCACACTCATCTCTTTATTGTTAGGTGGTGTTTTTTTTTTTTTTTTAATTTTTTTTTTTTTTACTTTTTACTTTTTTGAATGAATGAATGAATTTAAATGTGCATATGAGTAGCATGTGTTATATTTGCATAGGGAAAATTACAAATTTGTTCAACTTAGGATTCGTTTGGATATGGGTTGACTTTTTGGCTATTTTAACCTGGGGCTAAAAAGTTTCGTCTGCGATGAGTTTTTTGGCTTTTTTTACTTTTATGAGAGAAAAAATATAATGATTATAGATTGAATGTGATGTTTTGTCTTATTGGGCTAAAAAGTTTATTTTGTTTTTTGTGACTATTTTAGCCAAAAAGCCCAGGACTTTTTCTTCCCAAACGAGCTTTTAATGATTTAATCTCAATTAACTCAGTAACTATTTTTCTTAAAAAATCTAATTAACGTTATCAATTAGATCAAATTAACACAAAGTTTAAAATTAAGGGTCATAATCAAATTAATTGAAATGACAGGAATCAAAATAACATAAAGGTCAAAATTCAAAGAGTACCAAACCATAGACGTTAACGACATTTTTTGTAACAAAAATATTTGATCCCTAAAAAATAATTTTTTTTCTTAAATTTTGATGTCTAAAATCTTAATTTTTAATAGTGAATGACACAATACGATATTATGAAATGGTAAACACATTGAGTTACTGTCAAATAATTCTTACATAAATCTGAACTGACACAATACGATAATACAAAATAATCAAATAAAGTAAGTTAGCGTCAAAATATTTTTTACACGAACTTATAATGATACAACTATATGGTTTTAACTAAATCAATAAAAAAATAAAATAAAAATAAAATGGTTCCCGTAGGCAGACAGTGGCTTTGTGGGCGTAAGATTACACGCACATAATGTGACACCGTTTTGTAGGACAACAGATCCTGCTGTGCCACTACAGGAAATATGCTCACAATAGGTACCCCGTGCTCCCCATTAAACTCGTTAACTATTTAGGGAAAAAAACTAAAATATCTTCTACTTAAGTACATTCATGCTTTACTCTATGTGCAATTTATCTCTAACATTTAAAAATTAGCATATTGATCTTTTATGTTTTAACTCGTATTTCAAAATTATTTTTAATGTAGGCAAAATGTCTGACAGTGCATTTCACTTGACAAACCACAACGAAATTAGAAGGTCGTTTCTAAATAATATACACCAAGCCACAAGAAGATAAAATGAAATTTATCCTAATTAATATTTTAATCATTATTTAATCCATCTTATTTCCTTTTGGTTCCCTAATATTAGAATCATTACTGGCTCCTAACAATACAAGAAAAAGCCTGTTTTGTACAAGAATTGATAATAGTTCTCAAATAGACAATCTAGTTTCGTGTTACACTGTTGGCACCATATTTTATTTTTCTATCAATTGTGACCTATTAATTATGGTCAAATTCAATTATGATTTGTCGATTAAAATCATACATTATTTTTAAATAATAACTTTGGCCACATTTGTTATTATTATTATCATTTATGTCGACAGGCATGCTGACGTGGCATGATGACATGTTAAATGAAGGGATAGAAAGTTAGCCATTGCGGTCATTTGAAAATTAGTTGTTGCGATCAAGAAGTCAAAATCAAGTCAAGCACCAAATTTGCAAAGTGGTTACTATGAGCGTGAGATATGGATGATGTTTAGAAAATCATGATCTATTGAGGAAATCATGTGATTTGATTATCTCTCTCTCTCTTATGTGGTTGAGCCTATAAATATAGGCCAATACAAAGAAAAGGAACCATCTCAAAAACCACTCACAATTCCTCATATTAGCTTCTAGTTCGGAGTAGTTGAATTAGCAACTTTAGGAGTAGATCAGTGTTAGTTTTTCCAACCCCCATTTCTTTTATTCTGTCGATTGGTGTATTTTTTAGTATTTTGTTCTTGTTTAAGTTCATACAACTTGTAACAAGTGACAATTTTTGTGAATAATACATATTCTATTATGTTCTGTTTTTTTCTTTATTTAATTACTTCTAAGGAAGTCATTAATCTATTTTAGGCATAAAACTCAACCACACATCTGATCTTTTTCATGTTTATGCAAAAATTCATTTAAGTCTGTTGATTATCACTATCGAATGGGCTTAAACCAAATTGTTACTAACATAGATTGGCATGCCCAATGAGACCATTATAACTTGGAGTAACGACAATGAAGAAGCACACTAATGCATATGAAATCATGCCTTCAAGTGGCATGTTTACATCTTGTGAACCCATATGGATGCAAACCACCAAGGGAGTGGTAGTGTTCCCATGGATACAGATCATTAGTGGAATGCCTCATATTCTAAAAATTGTCAGTGTCGTGGTGGTGGTTCTACCGCTAATTGCCAACATAATGGCATGACAAATGATGTGAAAAGAATGATTTGGCATTGTGATTATGAAATTTATTGATGCGGAGGTGAAATTTTGGCCCTAAAAGAAGAAATTAATTCTCTTTATAGGCAAAGGTTTCAAACAATTTCATCATCTCTGCGTTATTTGATGCAAAGAGATTTAAATTACTGTGATGGAAAAATTCATCGACTTAAAGGCTAAATTTTTCTACTTGTTGAAGAAATTCGATATTGGAAGCAAAAAATAGAAGGCATAATGGCCTATGAAAAATTAAGATATGAAAATAATGTGGCTCATAGGGTTAATACACATATTTTTGAAGAGTCAATCATTCATGAAGAACCAATGCATGTGGCTTGAAGGGTTAGCACACCAAGTCATGAAGATAATATGACTTTGTAGAATTTTCTTAGGCCATTAATGTCTAAAATTAAAAAACAACACCTTCTCTCAAAAAATATTGAGAATTTTGATGATAAAGGTTCACTTGGGGGCATGATTTTAAGCCAAAGACAACTAAAGCTTATGAACATAAGGGGCATGATGTTTTGCCAAACGTGGCAAAAAGTGACAAGTCATTAATGGCTAAAAAGAGGAACAACCCTTTCTCTAAAAAAATGTTAAAAATTCAATACAAAATGATGATGAAAATTTACTTGGGGGGCATGATTTTAAGTCAAAGGTAGTTGAAAATTATGAACTTGGGAGGGGCATGATTTTAAGCAAAAAATGACAAAATTATGAGCAACCCACGTTTGTTGAGTGTGATTTTTTTATATTGTTCAAAGTGTCAAAATTTATGAATTTTTTATGACATTTAAATATGAGAACTTTGGAATTCAGCATCCACTTTGGGTTTGTGGATCACACCAAAAAATAAATTTCATGACATTGTTTGCAAAACAATAATGGTTGAAGAATGTATATGTAGTGAATTTTCTTTAATTAATCAAAATGTGGCTAACAGAGAATTGTTTTATTTTAAAAATAAGAAATGCGGCTCTCTGCTATGTCACTTGGTAGAGCCAAAGATAGAGTGTTCACCAATTGGCAATGATAGATTAAAAATTATATGAGTGTAATATAACTCTTCAAGAATTCGAATTGTTTGCACCATAAAATATTTTTTGTAGATTGTGTTAAACGACCTTATAAATCATTTAATTGAATTCCATTCTTCAATCCATTTAAATGAGGAGGGTATTATTGGCACCAGATTTTATTTTTCTGTCGATTGTGGCCTATTATGGCCAAATTCGAATATGATCTGTCAATTGAAATCATAGACTATTTTTTAAAAAAATAACCTTGGCCACATTTGTTATTATTATTATTATTTTTGTCGACAGAGATGTTGACATGGCATGACAGATATGTTAATAACGTGGTATGACGTAGCATGATATCATGTTAAATGGAGGGCTAGAAAGTTAGCCATTACAGCCATTTGAAAGTTAGTCACTGAGTTTAAGGAGTCAAGACCAAGTTAAGCACCAAATTTGCAAAGTGGTTACTAAGAACATGAGATATGGATGATGTTTAAAAAATTACAATCTTTTAAGAAAATCATGGGATTAGATTATCTCTTTTTCTCTCATGTGGCTAAGCCTAAAAATAGGCTAAGCGAGATACAAAGAAAATGAACCATCTCAAAAAACACTCACAATTTGTAATATTAGTTCTAGTTAGGAGTAGTTGAATTAGCAACATTTGGAATACATCAATAGTTTTTCCAACTTCCATTTCTTTTCTTCTGTCAATTGTTGTATTTTTTAGTGTTTTTTGTTATTGTTTAAGTTCATGCAACTTGTAACAAGTAACAATTTATTTGAATAATACATATTCAATTCTGTTATGTTTCTTCTTTATTTAATTACTTCTAGGGAAGTCCTTAATTTGTTTAAGGTATAGAACTAAATCATTATCAATTGGGCTTAAACCAAATTTTTGCTAACATACACAACAACATATAAACTATTTTAACGACTCATAGAATTTAGAGAAAATACAATAAAATTTACAAGTTTAATTATATGAATGGAAAATTATATTGTCGTATTTGTTATACTAAAATGGATATTTTTATCTTATTTATCTTGTGTCTTCACACTATCTGCATTAGTTTTGGTCTCTTTAACCTTATTAAAAGAGAAATTAGTGTCGTTATATCAAAATTGTATGACTTGTTATATATATTTTCCAAATTTTAGAGGGAGGTCAATATAATTTACTTAAAAGAAAATTGTTAAATCATATTTTTAAAAATCTTCAATCTAGCTCATCATTCTTGGTCCCTCAAAACAATTAGGGCAATTCACATGGCAGTGTATATTTTAAAAATTAATACAAATTAATGATGAACTTTACAAATATTAAAGTATGAAGTTATACACTTTACCATCAGTTAGTAATTAATTTTTAAAGATTTCATTGAGGAGGAGTTTGTTGGAACAATCTTCTGTGTAAATAAAATAACTTAAAATAATTCAAACAAAATAAAATAAAACTTACAGAATTTATTTCGTTGAACCGAATCAATAATTTAAAGACCAAGTCGAGTGTGTGACA